GTATGCCTTCTACTATTGTTTTAGATCGTGATACAAAATTCTCAAGTCATTGTTGGCGCACACTATGGAACAAGTTGGGTACAAAGCTATTGTTTTCTACCACATGTCACCCACAAACAGATGGCCAAACGGAGGTAGTCAACCGTACTTTGAGTACCATGTTGAGGGCTATTTTGAAGAAAAATTTGAAGATGTGAGAAGAATGTTTGCCTCATGTGGAGTTTGCATACAATCGGGCAACACATTCTACTACCAAGGTAAGTCCTTTTCAGGTAGTATATGGTTTCAACCCTCGTGCTCCTATTGATATCTTGCCTTTACCTACTAGTGAGAGGGTTCATAATGATGCAAAAGCACGTGCTGAATTTATTTTGAAAATGCATGAGACAACCAAGCAGAACATTAAAAAGATGACTGAAAGGTATAGAATTGCTGGTAGTAAAGGTAGGCAAGAAGTTAAGCTTGAACCAGGTGATTTAGTTTGGTTGCACTTGAGAAAGGATAGATTTCCAGAATTGAGAAAGTCTAAGTTGATGCCTCGCGCTGATGGTCCTTTTAAAATTGTTGAGAAGATTAATGATAATGCATATAAACTTGAGTTGCCTCCCGAGTTTGGGGTTAGTCCCACGTTTAACATTTCAGATTTGAAGCCATACTTGGGAGAAGAAGATGAGCTTGAGTCGAGGACGACTTCAATTCAAGAGGGGGAGGATGATGCGCACATCACTCCTTCGGATACACACAGCAATCCTCCAACGGTCATTCAAGGACCGATAACAAGAGCTCGTGCACGACAATTGAGTTTAGAGGTGAGCTCGTTCCTATGTTCTTCTTTGTACGAATTCGAGAATAGATTGCTACCTAATGATTATATTGTGATTAGGAACAATGGAGGGGACAAGGAGATATCTGGAGAAGGACTTAGAGCCATGGAGGATCATCGAGGACGTCCAAGTCAAGGTGGACGCCCAAACCAAGTCGACCTCGGGTGCAATTCGGAGTTCAGGACCAGTCTTCACTAAAACGGGTGCCCAGGTCGCATACGTGCTCAGATTGGGGCGTTCTTTATATGGATGGAAAGCTAAGAAGATAACCTTTCCAATGGTTTTGGTCCCGTATCCAAATTCTTTCAGAGTAAATGGGAATCGACCGAACAAGTTGATGTCCAGAATCTATCCTGGTGCTGCACCACCGTACTTGGGCCTTTGGGCCGTGTATCGTGTTGGAACCCATTAGGATTGCGTCGAGAGGAGGTGGCACGACCCTAAACTCTATATATCAGTACCCGCCGCTATCTTTAGGGTTTTGGGTTTTGCTTAGATTATTCTGTCGAGAACAGTTTCGCCGCTAGATCGGTTTGTAAGTCCCCAACTCGTGAGCTTAATCATTCATCTGCAATTTTGGTTGTTTTCTATCTCGTTCTTGTTTGTGTTCTTCGATTGGCAAACAGGGATTAGCCTTCTCGGTGAGGTCATCCGCGTTTCGACACGGGTGATAACCAGAGGAGACATGGTGCTGCGATTGCGAGGCTCAAGAGCGTGCGCGTTCAAGAAGCCAGATCGATTTGTGTCGCGACTCCGCCCAAATCGTTGTTTATCAGAACCTTTCGGAAGATCGGGAACCCTAGTGCACATCAGCAGCCGACTAGGGGTAGAGCCCTATCAAACCAAGTCATAAAAGAAACAGTCGAATCCGAAGCACTCAACTTAATTTAAATCTAACATGTACAAACAAGATTAGGATAGTAACGCAAGAGTCAGTGCATTAACTTGCACTGGCAAGCTCAAGTCAAACTAAACCCAAAATTTAAAGCAAGGTTTTCTTTAGCTCAAATTTTAACATAAGGATAAATTTTGGTTCGCAAATAGTTGTAAAGGAAGTTGACAATTCAATTAACAAAGTATAGTATGAACAAAGATGTAATATAATATTCATCGTATCAATCATCATAACCATACCCTTGCTGCCCCTCCTGGCAACAAGGCATAATTCCATCATCATTTTCATCCAACCCAATCCAATCCATCATTTCCAAGTTCACAATTCACAAACACAATTCATGACCGTGAGTACAGCTAATCGATTGTTTTTAGAACTCTATAGAGTTTATATATATTTACCTACATCATATGAACACTCTAGTTTATTTTAAGCTTGCATTGCTTCACCACACTCTACACGTTGAATGTGATCTAAAGGTCATAACATAGCTTTTACATTATATATATAATGCATAGCCTTGCACAACACAGTAGGTGTGAATACACCCTGGCAATGACCCAGAACCTTAGGTGGTGGACCTATGCCTTAAACCTAACACCGTGGCAGTGAACACATCCGTTCCCCCACGAGGCACTATACTATTGAATTGGACAAATTTAGACGCCTAAACTATCCAAATAAAAAGTAAGGTAAATAGGTAGTTCTTATGAATCATCGCTCAGACTAAATCATTCTTTCCCGGCCTACCAAAATGTAAGGCTAGACATTATATAAATTAATTAGCTAAGACCACCCCATAAATAGCACATGTGAATGTACATAATGCTTTAGTTAGTGATACGAAGTTCAGTCCTTAACTGTCTCAAGCGAATACTCCCCCTATCGATGTGCATCTACTACCATATGCATACCACTTGTCGCCCAAGTCTAAAATCATTTTTTCTCATTTTGGTTCATAGATACTTAGCATTTTCATTTTCTGTCCAGCAATAAACAAATTCCCAAAATTTCAATCATGAGATGAGAGGAAAGGCTATTTGCTTAGTTCTAGGCATGACTAAGCAACTAGCATAATTATAAGCATATTTAAACCCAAATGAGCATTTAGAAAATTCCCAAACTCAACCTATGGTTACAAACAGCGGGATGTCAATATGTCAAGGTGGATTATGTAGCAATAAGGTTATAGCTACCATCAACCAAGTTTTAAATAAAATATCGTTTTTATAAAATGTCAACATGTGTAGTTTCACAAACAACACATTTCATCTCCCAAATCATTGGTTTCATTGTGATCAAAGGGAAGGGAAGGTAGAACTTGCCTTGTCTTCGGATATGTTGGACAACACCTAATTCACTCCTTCACCGTCAATGCAATGATCTATACAAAATGCACGATATACAAATAAATACTTCCTCCGTTTCATATTATAAGAGTTTCTAGCATTGTCCACATTCATATATATGTTAATGAATCTTGATATATATGTGCCTAGATTCATTAATATCTATATAAATATGGGCAATGCTAGAAAGTCTTATAGCCTGAAACGGAAAGAATATCAAATTATGCGAATAATACAAAATGCTCCGAAATGCATGATTTATGCACAGTGGGCATGTACTGGTCTAAAATGATTTTAGGTGAATGAATTTATATTTTATCTATTTTTATTTGAGAGTTATGAATTTTATAAATTATGTATTATAGTATTTATCCCTTAGGAAGATATTTGGAATGGGTTTAAGAGGTAGTTTTGTCAAATTCTACCTTGCAGTGATGAAGTGTTTAGTTTTCTAGATCAACCTAATTGGTTTCACAATTTTTTAGAGTTTGTATGATTTTATTATGTATTTTACAAGTAGTAGTGTGGTATGTGTTAACAATTTCCTATATAATATTTTAGAGACTTATTTTTTAAAAATAGTATTGCCATATGTTTTTGCTAATATAAGAAAATGGTTCTATTAGCCTAACAAAGCTGAGTTCATAATATTTGAAGCTAATATGAATTTCCTATGAATTTTTTAAGTTGGATTATGTGTGTGACTGTGATGATCATTTTACTATACAAATTATTAGTGCTGATTTTGGGTACAGAAGGTGTTAAATTTTATTTTACCAAATTGAATTTCACATTCTGCTGGTTCTACATAAATTCGGGTTCATTCCATTTGGAGTTAAAATGAATTTTCTATCAATTTTACAAGTTGAAGCATGTTTTATGGTTCTTATACTACATTTTACTACATTAAAGTTCAAAATATTGTGATTTTACAGAAGTTTAGTTCAATCTTAAAAGGAGTTAATGTGTATTTTATATGAATTTTTAAATTTATAACAAGTATTATGTCTATTATTTCTTATATATAACTTAGGGGACTGCTAGATTCTGCTTAAAAACATCACAAAGAAACTCTTCAACAACAAAACCTACTCCACAATGCAATATCCGCCAAACACACAGCACTTCATGAACCCGTCGCCGCCTACCTTGTCATTGCCACCATACCCGCCTCCCTCGTCGCCACCATGTCTCCACCACCACCCCAATCGCCACTATCATCGCAACCCTAGAAATCACTCTAAGAAGGCAGATTTGGGGACGGACTCCCTCGTCCTCCTCGTCACCGCCATGTCTCCACCACCACCCCAATCGCCACTATCATCACAACCCTAGAAATCACACTAAGAATGCAGATTTGGGGACGGAGAGAGGAGCCACCACCACCCCAATCCACTAAGAATATCATCGCAACCCTAGAAATCACACTAAGAAGGCAGATTTGGGGACAGACTTCCTCGTCCTCCTCGTCGCCGCCATGTCTCCACCACCACCCCAATCGCCACTATCATCGCAACCCTAAAAATCACACTAAGAATACAGATTTGGGGACTGAGGGAGGAACCTAAATATGCTCACACTAGACCGGCAGACCGCCACATAAGACAATCAATCCGATCAAACGTGCTTTGGACCGGCCACGTGAGACAGTCAACCCGATCAAACGTGTTTTGGACCGGAATTATTCACTTAAACAAGATCATGGATCATAATGTTGATTTTACTATATCATTGACACAAGTGACACCATACTCAACTTTTAAAGACCGATCATGTAATTTACTTAAAAGTAATCATGTTCATGTATCCTTCCTCCAGCCACGAACAAGTGTTTCAAAGAGCACTACTGCACAGGGGCGTGGCTGCCAATTGTACAACTGTTTGGTTGCACCCAGATGTAATCGAGCAACATCAACAGAGACAGAGCACACATGACAACAATTTACAGCTCAATAGAAATGAAACTAACAGAGCTGCTTCCGAGCTCCGTGCGAGAGCAGTTAGCAGTGTATTTATTTGGACAAAAAACACTAGTTGAGTAAACATTTATAATGCTAGAAGTGCCTCAAACAATCGCCAGTTTCAGACACATCGAAGTAATTAGTCGACACATAAGAAACTGAGTTTGCAAAGCAGGGTAAGAGTATACATGCGATAGACTCCAAAACAGACAGCAAATAGCGTTATGCTCGTACTAGACTCTACATATCATTTGTTCTAGCAGTGTTGTTCTACTGGTAATTCCTCCCTGGCTCATCCCTCTTATAGGCCGGCGCACCGGCATTGTAGTTATCGCTGCCTTGCTGGTAACTAGGGTTGCCTCCTTGGCCTTGGTAGCCTGGTGCACCACCAGCAAAGACAGGGTTGCCGGCTTGATAAGGAGGTGGGTTGCCGGCTTGATAAGGAGGTGGGTTGCCACCATGGTAACCTGGCCCTCCTCCCTGGTATCCAGGGTTGTTGCCCTGGTAAGCAGAGGGTGGGGGTGGGGGTGGACCTCGGTATTCCTGGTTGCCACCTTGATAGCCAGGGGCTCTACCTTGGTAACCAGGCACACCACCCTGATAGTTTGTATAGCCTGCTTGCGGATTTGGTGCATGGGGCTGGTAGCTTGGAGGAGCACCTGGATTTGGTGGAGATGGAGGTGGAGGCATCGGAGGAGCATCACGAGGCAGGACTGGGCCCTGCCCTGGTGGGGGAGGGCTGTTGAATCCCTGCCCAGGAGGCACATCTCTGTTCTGGAAGTTGTGCATGTTCTCCCTTCTCCTCTCGAAATTCCTTGACCTGTCAAAGTTTCTAGGCCTATCATTGCGTCGGGTCCTTTCATTGGCACGTGCATTGTTTCTCACCCACTCCTCATGGTACTTAGGGTCATAAGGAACAGCTTCTCCATTTATAAAAGGCTCTCCTGTGATAAAAGATAATATGTCAAATACACCAAATGATCATAGATCACATCTCTATGATTCCATCACATGGATAAAGACATTACAAAACAGATAAAAGTAATTATGAACTCATAAGATTATGCTAGATACAACTATGAACTCAACAACAAACAACACACTAAGAACATATTTATTCAAATTCTCAACCACAGAAGATGGTACTGCCACGGACAGCTTGCAATCAGTACCACTACCATGACATATGTAAAGCTACAGCCAAGGTTACCATTTACTCCCTCATAGCAAGATAACTAAATAGATATTACTGACTCAAGTTTATAAAGTTTGCTTGAATCAGTTGATTTCACTGCGATGAGTACTGATAATCAAGCAATCAACTTATCAGATGGTCTAGGAAAGAAATAGCAAACTAAATTAAAGATATCCTTAGTACTATGAGATTTCACAAGATATAGGCTCCAAATAAAAAGTTTAGTGGTATGCTAGAATACAAGGTGACACCAGAGCAATCAGCAGAAGAGTACTCTACGGTTAAGCATATACTTGATGCGGAAAAACATAACCTCTATAAAAACAAGTCAGATATTATCAGTTCAAAGCATTGCACAGGGACATTAGAATTAATCATTTTAGTCATAATATGCAAATGATGTAAAAACAGTTCCAAAAAAGAGTGATGATCTTTTAATTCAATAAGGAACAGAATGAACAATACCTCCATAGTCCTTATTTCTGACATCCAGATATGAGTCTGGAAGAACCCAGCGGACCTTGGGCAACTCTAGCAAAATAATTTAAAAGCACAGCATTAAAGCAAAAACAAGTGAAACCCACAAAACATCCCCTACAAAGAATTTCACATAACCATAAATACCTTTGAGTTTGTAGGAGAGTTCCTCAGATACAAGAGCACCAAAAGCAAAGTAATGCCGAGTTGACACTGAGTATATCTTATGCCGTGCTTCGTCCTCACTGGAAAAAAGGGTGCATTTGGTTTAAAAAACTTATGAACAATTTATACAATGGCTAATACCCAGGGCATATATCAAGAAAATGAGAAAAAAAAATAAGCACATAAATTGTTCTATAGAAAGACTTACATGATGCGATAGTTAAAGAGAAACCAGAAAAACTAGCACATGCTACCATAAAGATGGACGCCTAAATATGTCAATGGTCGACAGATTTGATATAACACATCAATTTTCAAAACAGGGCATGAAGTATGCTTAAAAAACATCCTGTTAATAACAGGAGGGCATTAACACAATCAATGTTTCAGTTCCCTATCGAATCATCTTAACTGTAGCTGTGACAGTAGCCTCAGCTGAAAGAAGCTTCTCAAAATTAAAGTTATTGAAAAACAATTTGAGATCAACCATGTCACAACAAAGATTAAATGGCTTGGCTATGTGCTGCATTGAGAAGAATGTCTTGGACAATATTGATCTTGAAACCATCATTAATGATTTTGCATCGAGAAATGCCCGAAGGAGTTTTTTTTTTATGAGAAGCAAATGGATGTCTGTCATCTTTTCTTTTGTCAAGTATTATTAATGAAGTCCCTGGAGCTAACCATATTAATTCCATTTTAATGCTTTTTTTGGTATTTTTAGCAACATATATAGAGGATATTATCAATACTTCCTCCGTTTCACAATGTAAGTCATTCTAGCATTTTCCACATTCATATTGATGTTAATGAATCTAAATAGATATATATGTCTAGATTCATTAACATCAATATAAATATGAAAAATGCTAGAATGACTTACATTGTGAAACGGAGGGAGTATTTGTTTTCACCATGATTAGCTGATGAATGCTTTAAAAGTACTATACTTTAAAAGTGCCAAGCGCATCTGTGTATATATAGAGAGAGCGTACGTCTTAAGGGGCCATGTCAAGGAGTTCGCCTAGGGCCCTCAAAAATTTAGAGCCGGCCCTGCTGTTAATAACAGGAGGGCATGACCTCCCTTCTAATTTACAAATTACCCCCCACAGAAATACTAATTTATTCACCCATAATAATTTACTACTACATGTAACACCATGAGAACATATTAATATGGAAACAGCAGCAAGTTAAAAGAAATTGACAAATACATGTGGAAGTTGAATATCTAAATAAACTCCCAGTTACATCTGTGAGAATAAAATGAAATATGCATCAACAACATAGAATACCCTATCACTGAAACAGATATTTATCAGCCAATCCACCACAGATGAAGTTAACAAGTAACACCATGGAAAAACTTAACATATCACCTAATTATAGTATCACCAAATCAACTTCCCCCGTCCCATTTCCTCACCCCCAATCACGAACCATCAGATTAAAACGAGAATCTAACGGATGTGAGATGCGCATGAGAGGAAGAAGGGGGAGGATTGCCAAGATGGCTATACCTTCCAACGATCTGGGCGAGGGTTTTGATGTAGCCGTCGATAATCTCATCGCGGGTGGGCTCGGGGTTGGAGGGATCGCCGGGGGGCGGGTCCATGACGACCAGCCAGTGCTCGAAGTCGCACCCGTCTAGGAGGATCGTCTCCTTGGGGGGCCGGTTGCTCCAGTTCGGCGACGAGTCCCGCAGCGACGAGGTCGCCGGCTGCGTGGCGAAGCACCTGGCCCCCGCCGCGGGCGGGGCGAAGGGGGCAAGCGCCGCCGGCAGGAGGCTCCCCGCGGCGGCGAGCGGGCGGAGGAAGCGGGAGGAGGCGGCGGCGGCGGGGAGCCTCGAGAGGAGGACGAAGCGCGACGCCGACACCATCGCGAAAAACCTAGATTGGGGAATGGGGGAGGCAAGGGTTTAGCCGCCCATTTTATTTTATAGCCGCATATTATACTCGACAGAAAAAAGTGGCTACTATCTATCATCGTGAAAAAGCTAGATTCAGGAATATGGGGAGGCGAGGGTTTAAGCCGCCCATTTTATAGTCGCATATTATACTCGACGGAAAAAAGTGGCTACTATCTATCATTCCGATTTTTTTGAACCATTATATCTAAATCTAGCAGCTCAGATTCTATACAACAAAAAATTAGACAAAAACAGGAAACTCCAAACACAATTCGATCAGCGATTTGCATCCGAATCCATTAAAAAGCCCAAGTAATCAACGGAGCTCATTTAATAGCGGAACCTAAAATTTATTGTTCGTGTTATATTAACGTTTTCTTTACAACAAAATTACACTAACTATTATTTAACATCATTTCGCCACGTGTAATTTTAAATTGATATATTTTTTTTCTCGTTGCAACAGACAGACACCCAACTAGTATTTATAAAAGCCCAAATATAACCCAAGCCTTTCAAAAGGCCAAATAATGTCAAAATCCAAATAGAATCCGAACCCATTAGAAAGCACAGATATAGTAAAAAAGCCCATTAAGCAACTCAAAGCCGAACACAGGCCCAAACAAATTAGAAGAAACACAACATTGGAATAAGTTCACTTTAGGTCTCTCAATTTGTCATCGAGTTCAATATTCACCCTGGACCACAAAACTAGTGCAAATGAGATTCCTCGACACTTTTGTCCACCGTTTTAGCTGATATGGCGTCTACGTGGCTCCTTTGACTAGGTATTCATCCCACGTGGCCTTGATGTAGTGCTTACGTGGCAATTTAATCTAGAAAAATAATAAAACTTGTGGGGCCCACATGTTAGTGACACACAGAATAATAATAAATGGTGGGGCCCATGTGGCCCCACATGTCATCTTCACTACTCCCCTCTTATCTCTATCCTCTCTATCCCCTCTTCTCACTATCCTCTCTCTCTCCGCCCCTTGGAGCTAGCCGGCGGAGCGGGGTGGCCCCACATGACATGTATTATGTATTGTTGATGCATCTTGTCGAGAGGGTTCGACGAGATCTCCCGGCGAGTAGCCTTCGCGTCCTCCGGCTTCGTAAACTATGGTGAGTGTGTCGGTACTATGATTCGATGATCCGAACCCCTTAGGGGGTGTGCCTTTTATACTGTGAGTTGCCTTAGTCTCCGAGTAGAAGGGTTAGGTACATAGGATATGGATAGTCTTTGCCAATGCGATAAAATAAAGTGACATCGTGTCTATTTTTCTTTGCTAAAGGGGTATTTCCATGGGTTTGCCTTGGTATCGTGTTCATACTGTCGTATTGAATGATCCGGGTCGATTGCTTTCGGTGCATATAATGCACACAGCTCTAGTTTCTGGTTGGGCTGGCTCGATGGCTTTATACGAATTAGCGGTTTTTGATCCCTCTGATCCTGTTCTGGATCCAATGTGGAGACAAGGTATGTTCGTCATTCCTTTCATGACTCGTTTAGGAATAACCAATTCGTGGGGTGGTTGGAGTATTTCAGGAGGAACTGTAACGAATCCGGGTATTTGGAGTTATGAAGGCGTGGCAGGGGCGCATATTGTGTTTTCTGGCTTGTGTTTCTTGGCAGCTATCTGGCATTGGGTATATTGGGACCTCAAAATATTCTGTGATGAGCGGACGGGAAAACCTTCTTTGGATTTGCCCAAGATCTTTGGAATTCATTTATTTCTTGCAGGGGTGGCTTGCTTTGGCTTTGGCGCATTTCATGTAACGGGTTTGTATGGTCCTGGGATATGGGTGTCTGATCCTTATGGACTAACTGGAAAAGTACAAGCTGTAAATCCGGCGTGGGGTGCAGAAGGTTTTGATCCTTTTGTTCCGAGGGGAATAGCTTCTCATCATATTGCTGCGGGTACATTGGGCATATTAGCGGGCCTATTCCATCTTAGTGTCCGTCCACCTCAACGTCTATACAAAGGATTACGTATGGGCAATATTGAAACTGTACTTTCCAGTAGTATAGCTGCTGTTTTTTTTGCAGCTTTCGTAGTTGCCGGAACTATGTGGTATGGGTCAGCAACTACCCCAATTGAATTGTTTGGGCCTACTCGTTATCAGTGGGATCAGGGATACTTTCAGCAAGAAATATATCGAAGAGTTAGTGATGGGTTAGCCGAAAATCTCAGTTTATCAGAAGCTTGGTCTAAAATTCCCGAAAAATTAGCCTTTTATGATTATATTGGTAATAATCAGGCAAAGGGGGGATTATTCAGAGCAGGCTCAATGGACAATGGGGATGGAATAGCTGTTGGATGGTTAGGACATCCTATCTTTAGAGATAAAGAAGGGCGCGAACTTTTTTTACGCCGTATGCCTACTTTTTTTGAAACATTTCCGGTTGTTTTGGTAGATGAAGAGGGAATTGTGAGAGCGGACGTTCCTTTTAGAAGAGCAGAATCCAAATATAGTGTTGAACAAGTAGGCGTAACGGTGGAGTTCTATGGTGGCGAACTTAATGGAGTAAGTTATTCTGATCCTGCTACTGTAAAAAAATATGCGAGGCGTTCCCAATTAGGGGAAATTTTTGAATTAGATCGGGCTACTTTGAAATCAGATGGTGTTTTTCACAGCAGTCCAAGGGGTTGGTTCACTTTTGGTCATGCTACCTTTGCTTTGCTCTTCTTTTTCGGACATATTTGGCATGGGGCTAGAACCTTGTTCCGAGATGTTTTTGCTGGTATTGATCCAGACTTGGATGCTCAAGTGGAATTTGGAACATTCCAAAAAGTCGGAGATCCAACTACGAGGAGACAGCCAGTCTGAGGCCGCATTGCTTTGGTATCTTTCACCTCTCTTTTTTTATTTGACATGGGAAACATCTCCCATCCCTTCTTTGACTCTTTTTCCTTTTTTATACGGGAAATGATCCCAAATGACAAATGAATAGGTGTGGAAGTTATAATTGTAAATAAACCACGATCGAATCTATGGAAGCATTGGTTTATACGTTCCTTTTAGTTTCGACTTTAGGGATAATTTTTTTCGCTATCTTCTTCCGAGAACCACCTAAGGTTCCGACTAAAAAAGTGAAATAATTTAATTGAAGTAAGAAGTCTCCCCATCTGGGAGACTTCTTACTTCAATTAGTCCCCGTGTTCTTCGAATGGATCTCTTAATTGTTGAGAGGGTTGCCCAAACGCGGTATATAAGGCATACCCAGTAAAGCTTACAAGTAAACCAGATATGGAGATGGCGACTAAAGTTGCTATTTCCATTTTTATAGAATTTCAAGATTACAATGGATCTACGAAAAGATCGTGTATTTACAACTACAACGGAATAGTATACAAAGTCAACACAAATCATTAAATGGAATTTATGGCTACACAAACCGTTGAAGATAGTTCTAGACCTGGACCAAGACAAACTCGCGTAGGTAATTTATTGAAACCCTTGAATTCGGAATATGGGAAAGTAGCTCCGGGTTGGGGGACTACTCCTTTTATGGGGGTCGCAATGGCTTTATTCGCGGTATTCCTATCTATTATTTTAGAAATTTATAATTCTTCCGTTTTACTGGACGGAATTTTAATGAATTAGGTTTCTACTAACGAAAACTACGAAGTCATAGTTTTTCCATCCAAAAGAGCCTTTCTACTTTAAGCTCTACATTTCTAGACATTCTGGTAGTTCGACCGTGGAAGGGTTCGACGAGATCTCCCGGCGAGTAGCCTTCGCGTCCTCCGGCTTCGTAAACTATGGTGAGTGTATCGGTACTATGATTCGATGATCCGAACCCCTTAGGGGGTGTGCCTTTTATACTGTGAGTTGCCTTAGTCTCCGAGTAGAACTCGGAGACAATGAACCCTGCATAATATAAAATAAACCCAATCCTTTCCGAATAGGACTCTATTAATCACCAGCTCGTGAGGATATTTTCCATAATATCTTGTAGATTTCGTTATCACATATGGAAACATACCATATACACGAAGGTATACCGTACCCGTATTTTCCATAAGGTGTGGGATAGGAGGTATGCCTTACATGTAACCATGACATATGAGAGGACGTGCCATGGAATAAACAATATTTATCTTTCTTGGTATTTTTTTTCTTGGTGGAAAACCTTCATCGTCCCCTATCTTGCATTGGAGTTTTTTTTGGAGGATTTGGACCTCTTCGACCGACATGACTTGCTTCCCCTTGTCGCTCCGAAATTTATTCCATGTCATGGGCGCTGAGCCTTGCTGTGATAGTGGAGCCATGTTTGCCTCTGGTGGGCTTATTTCGGCCTAAGCCACCTCCTTGTCGAACTATGCATGGATTTTGTTGTGGTGTTTTATGTCTTCCTCTTACCTGGCGTAGCCATCAATGATGCAAAAGAGGTGATCCAGGGTTTTTGGTTGCTTTCGAGTAATCTTCCTTGTGAGGTCACCTACGCGAAGGCATGCCGAAGCAGTGTTGTTGACCGAGGCTTTGGCAATGTCTTGAAGTTATCATCTTGCTTGGGAGAACCTTCACGCGTACTCAGGTGTTGATTCGCCAAGTTTTTGTCGTATTCCGCACAACCCTTGCTAGGTCTTGCATTCTTCGTAGCTTCCCCGAAAGTTTGTGGCGAACACATCCCTCAGCTGCTCCCCAGAGTAGATCCTACTTTCTGGGAGATTGAAGTACAAAGACTGGGGAAAACCATCTAAAGCGAGGTGTATGCCCTCTGCTTTAGTGTTTTCGTCCCCATGAGCTACTTTGATTGACGATTCGTAGATTGACAGAAATTTGCTTGGATCTAATTCACCTGTGTACCTTGCCACATATGGGTACTTGAACTGGGGTGGGATTGGGTGATTCCAAAGGATACGGGGGAAGCCCAACTTTCTCGACGTAGGATCCAGATATATCATGAAACCTCACGAAGTGCTACTCGTGCAACTCACCTTTCACCATGAATTCACAAAACCACACATTTTGATAGGTTGATCCACTCAACCATGCAAAAGTGAATCTATTACCCCCCCCCCCTTAATTCCCTACAAGGAAAAGCAAGAACAATCTATGGCAGAACTCCTAATTCCTCTCTCTAGTTTGGCGGCGGTGGCACAAAACCTAGGAGAAGAACAAGAGCAAATTTGCTGAAATTTTCATTTGGATAAACGTGATCTACCCTGTTGGGTCGTGTACAAAGGCATATATAGCCTATACATGGGTTAGAAACTAACTAGAAACTATATATAACATAATCTGGGAACCTATATGCAACACGATTGGTTTGTTTCGGCTCTTGCGGTGAAACCAGAAGGAATTTGTGTCGGTGCGACTCTCCATCACATGGGCCATGAAGTTATATTCCCATCAAGTGCTCACATGTCCAAAACAGACTCTGGACGAGAGAGAAACAAATGTTTTAGTCCAAGTATGTCAAGGCTGGCCCAAACCAAATCCGAGTTGAATATTTTTTTTCTTATTTTAAAAATTCATTGCTTTGAAAGGCTTCAATCCGTGAGGAAGTTGTAGGTGGACTCCTTCCCAACCCAATATGGGCCTTGAGATAATAGAACTCCATCCAAACATGTCGTGCAAGGCCCATGATCATCATCAATGCCGCTACTTGCGCGTCAACCAGTCTGCTTGCGCAACATATCTTCATCTTGCAATTGCTGGTGAAAAAAACTCCGAATGATGTGCCATTGGATCCATTGGAAAGTAGACTTGATAAAGTTTCCAAATATCCAAGCCATGCATGTTGAAAGCCTTCACATCAATGCAGAATATGCCATGAACTCCATGAATAGAACAACAATCGATCTTCTCCATGTGCACCGCTACCTCCCTCACCGTATGTTGTTTATGCATGCCAATAGTTTAAATTTCTCATGTCAGAAAGTAATCAGGTAACAAACATTATGTAACATCAAATTCTCATATATTTCACGCATAGACTTTGAGAGAAACGAGTTCATCTTATGTTATGATTCGCATGCAAAGGGCAATATTCAATTGATAGGTAGATCTGCATCACCGAAGGCCCCAGCTCAAGGGTAGCTTCTTTTCACCTCCGACACTTGATACAAGCCCTTAATGCAGTTGGGGCGAAAGGCTTAGGTATGGTGGAGCGAAGGGCGAAACCAAACCATGGATATGTGCTTGCGGTTAGCCTTGGATTGCAACTGGGAGAGGAATCAAGGGAGTGGGGCCGACCAAAGTGGCTTAAACTGTGGTGGCGGCTGGTGGGAGCGTGGTAGGGGCCGAACGTGCTGCGGGTGAGTTCACTGTTTGCCATGCCACCGCACCTTGACTTGCTCCTCCAACGGCCAGGGTTGGTGAAGGCACGACTACCAAGGTGGCAGTTGTGCGTTGTGGGGAGGACTCGAGCTTAGCTACTTAATGAAAGCTTGAAACTGGGCTTGGATGACAGAGGTCGCATTTGGTGTGGAATGGGACGCCGAGGCTTGGGCCAAGTGAGCCGAAGGTGGTGTCGGCTAAGCAGGTTGCAAGCGAACCTGAACCTGTGGTGATGCAACCGGTGTTGGCACAGGCGTAGGCAGTGGAGGCACTGGCACGGGTAGCATGGACACAGACGTTGCAGGAGGTTGGGCGATCGGTCTTGTTGTTGCGGCGGATCTTGCATGCATGGCCGCCTTCTGTAGCTGTTGTTGTTGCTGCATCTGCCGAAGCCATGCATTCATCAACATACAAATTCCACATATCCATTCATCAACAAATACACAATATCATAGCCACATTCATTCACATTCTGTTGGAGGCAGGCCATGAGGACCTTTCGCCATATAGATATCGGTTTTTGTTACAAATTGACACCTATAGTTTTTGCCACGTGTTCAGGCTGGTCAACAACTGACACCTATATGCTATTTATAGGCGCCAATTGTTTTAAAGAACCAACACCTATATGAACAGCCATGTGGCACTTTAGTTTAGAACCGACACCTATAATATAATACCATATAGGTGTCGGTTCTTTTCTAAAAACTGGCACCTATATGTCTTATAGGTACTGGTTCTACAACCGGCACCGATGACTGAAGTCATCAGTACCACCTGCTGGGTGCCGGTGTGAAAATCTGGCAACTATGATCGATTCTCAATTAGCACCAAAGTCAATTTATGTAGTAGTGACAAGGTGTAGGAAAAAGTAAATAAGTGACCATCATTAATATAAAAGTTACTACTATTGGGGAATGATAGCAAAGAGGTGGGCGTAGCATGACTATGAAGTAGATTTTTACGTGGATAGCGGAATTGCTCACTTAGAGCATCTCCAACAGCATGGCTATCCCACTCTCCAAGCCAAAATTTGGCGATTTTGAGCCAAAGGTGGCCAAGCCATCCAGCTGGCCAAACTTAGCTAGCTAAAGTTGGATGGCCAATCGTCGGTCCAACCATTATCTCCTCTCTCCCACATCTCCACTTCATCCTTCACACAATCATACCTGACTACTGTTATTGCCTCCTCTCTAGTCTCCAGCGCCAATCGATGCCTCCTCCGACCACCCGTCCGTCCCGACCTCCTCTACAGTGTTGCCTCCCCTAGGCCTCCTTTCTAGCAATAGCCATCTCGCCTCCATCATTGCTTCCACCGCCGCCAAGGGCACGCTCCTTGCTCGCGTGTTCGGCGCAGTACATGTTGTCATTGGGGAGACGAGCCATCGACCACCCCGACTTCCTCTCTCGATCGTCACCACCGGGGACACGTCCTTCTCACCGTCGACCGCCCTGACGTGGAGGTTCTTTGGATTTGGAGGACGGAAATTTTAAAGTTTTTTTTTAAAAAAGTTAATTGTTTCGAATAAAAATTCTGTAAATTCTAGTTGCGTGGGTCGAAACAAAAGTTGAGAATGGGGGCTCATAAATTGGCAACCATCCAGCAACGCGACAGAGGCAGCATCTATATTTTATATACATAAAGGCATTGTAGAGTGAATAAATGCAGGCGCCTCAGATGCAGCTGAGTAAAACCTTCTTTTGATCTCACTAGCGACTCTCACTCCTTGCAGCTAATCATACTCTCAGTTAGTACGATCACATTGATTGTGCTCCATGCCGCTAATTAATCCAAATTACCCGCCGCCGCCCTTATATATATTTGGTACATGATGGGAGCAGGGCGGTCACCTTAATAAGTGATCGGGCGGCGAGGCGAGGCGAGGTGAGTAACAGATCGATCGATCCATGTCGCCAGTCGGGTGGTTGGTCTTGTTGTTGCCGGCGCTGCTGCGGCGGGGCAGCAGCGGGGTGGCTGCGGCGGGGAAGGTGCCGGCGGTGATCGTGTTCGGCGACTCGTCGGTGGACACGGGCAACAACAACTTCATCCCGACGATCGCGCGGAGCAACTTCTGGCCGTACGGGCGCGACTACGCTGACGGCCTCCCCACCGGCCGCTTCTCCAACGGCCGCCTCGCCACCGACTTCATCTCCGAGGCCTTCGGACTCCCTCCCTGCATCCCTGCCTACCTCGACACCAACCTCACCATCGACCAGCTCGCCTCCGGCGTCTCCTTCGCCTCCGCCGCCACCGGCCTCGACAACGCCACCGCCGGAGTCCTAGTAAGTAGTCTGTATAGTCGAGTCTTTCTTCTCAACCGCGCTCCGGCGGCTTGCACTGAGCTGCATGCATATATGCATTCAATATTGATATGATTTGCAGTCCGTGATCACGATTGGCGAGCAGCTTCAGTACTTCAGGGAGTACAAGGAGAGGCTGAGGATCGCCAAGGGGGAGGCTGAAGCCGGCGAGATCATCGGCGAGGCGCTCTACATCTGGAGCATCGGCACCAACGACTTCATCGAGAACTACTACAACCTGCCGGAGCGGCGGATGCAGTACACGGTGGCGGAGTACGAGGCGTACCTGCTGGGGCTCGCCGAGTCCGCCATCCGCGACGTGCACTCCCTCGGCGGCCGGAAGATGGACTTCACCGGGCTGACGCCGATGGGGTGCCTCCCCGCCGAGCGCATCGGCAACCGCGACAACCCCGGCGAGTGCAACGAGGACTACAACGCCGTCGCCCGGAGCTTCAACGGCAAGCTTCAGGGGCTCGCCGCCAGGCTCAACAAGGACCTCCCCGGCCTCCAACTCGTCTACGCCGACACCTACAAGATCCTCGCCTCCGTCGTCGACAAGCCGGCCGACTACGGTATATATGTGACACAGCAATCCATGCATGCTACTGCTTAATTTGCTCCTCCATTAACTCACAAATTAACTGCACGGAAGTGATCGCGCGCGCGGGGCGGTAGCTAGGATTGCATTCATGGCATCGCGTTGATTTACGGCCGGTGCTGCAACAGGAGGTCGGCATGGATGCCACCTGCCTTCCTGCCGTGTCACGGCGTCTTGCAGTTGCTGCTGTTGCAGGTCCTACAGTACGCATACACATTAACGTTAGTTGCTATGCTTGTTAACGGCTGGACTTGCGCGCCAACTGCCGGGTAGGTAGATGTAGCCGGTTTAGATTTATTGGCTTACACTTTTAATTCAGTTTATTGGCTTATATAATTTATAATCCGATGAATTTAATGCCCTAATTAAGTTTAATAATGTAGTCATACATCTATCTCACATGAGAAAAAAAAAACTTATCCAACCTAACTTTTGGTTTAATAGTGCTAGAGTGGCTTATGACTTAAAAAACCAAACAAAAAAAGTCGTTTGTTTGTTTAGATTAAAACTTTTCAACTTTTGACTTGCCTAAAAAAAAAGGGCCATAGAGTAGAGCCGTACGTAGAATTCTGGTTAGACTCTACCGGCTTTTGTCCTTGTTTCACAACGAGAAAAATGTTGATTACCTTTTACATACACTGTATTAGCTAACTACTTGACTAACTACTATCTCAAACAGAGGTACTAGTAGTAAATTCGGTGTTGATTTGCAAAGCCGAACATGTAAAATATCAAGAAAAAAAACAAACCGAAACCTCGGTCTCAGTTAGACCAAATGCCCACCCTATAGTTAGCACTTTGTTTTCTTCTAGATATGGGTAAGCATGTTTGATCATTATTCTCATTAATACTTGTTGTATAATTATTAATAGTTATAGTATATGAAATTATCTTCATGATTAAAAAATCATGTATCAATGTTAATATTTATTTTTATGATTACAGACTTCCAAGTTTGATTACACATTGATATTGTAGGCTTGTAACCTATTCCAAGTTTAATTTCCAACAGAAACGTAGCGGCACGGGCGCACGGCAGTAGGTGTAGAGAACTCAACCAACATAATATAATTTCCTGAAAAAATTGGACCTTTTTGAACTCTTATGTGAAAGTACTAGTGATGCATCCAATACAAGAGAGAAATGAATTTAATATGTACAGCTGTACATATGTAAATTGTGTTGAGATCTATACTTAGTTTCTCCTCTCTTTTTTTCGACGTGAGCAGGTTTTGAAAATGCAGTGCAAGGTTGCTGTGGGACAGGACTCTTCGAGGCCGGTTACTTCTGCAGCTTGAGCACCTCGTTGTTATGTCAAAATGCCAACAAATACGTCTTCTTTGATGCAATCCATCCCACGGAGAAAATGTACAAGATCATTGCCGATACAGTCATGAACACCACACTTAATGTGTTCCTATAAAGTTTATTAATTTTGTGGATTGATGGATACATATATATACGGGCGGTGAAAGTACTGTACAAGTTGCTTAATGCGTAAACTAAACAAACACCATAGATATTCACTCTCTTGGGATCATATATATACTACGTGATTGTACAAGGATGAACGGACTACTGTATAAATCAAAATATGATCAGTTTTGTAATTAAAGCATGGACGCCAGTTTCAATGCCAGCCACACTTTAGTGCTTTACCACCATTTGCCAATAAAAGTTGACACATTTGCCCAAATTCATATGATCAAATTATGTGCCACACTTTAGCAAGCCAACTTTTTAAATTATTAATATATATATGGGACCTAACTTGCTGTTAGAACGAACTCTTGTCATAATTGTGGCTGCTACTAAACAGCTCACCAGTTAATTAAACTTGTCAAACCTTCTTCTCAAAGCTTAGGCGTGGTAAATGACAACCAAGCTCCCCTATATGTATCCCTTAATTCTTTAATTCGTTACCATCATTCCGCTCGTCTAAACGGAGCCATCAATAAGCGAAACTGTATATTTGCAAACGAACAGTAATTTGTGAATAAAACTTTTATATACGTGTTCTTAGCGATTTAAAAGCAAAAGCTGAAAAATAAATTTCAATGAAAAAACATCAAAATCTTCTCCAAATTTAAGATTGAAAATTTAAATTTTGGCTGACAAGCATAAGCGTAAGCGTAAGCGAAAAGATAAGGCCCTTTTAATTATAGCTCCATGATTGTGTGAACTGGCGCTCATCAAGCTACTATAGGAGGTGGTAGGGATTTTGATAAACACACAAAACTACTTATGGGCCGATTAGCTAGTTTGAAGAATGATTGGAAATAGTCAATTGATTACTAATGCTACACGTACGTGCGAGTTCTTTGGTATGGGAAAAAGAGAATGGATTGATCAATCAGAGTACCTCATCGTCAAAACACAAAGGAGTGTGAAGTCTTCTCACTGAATTTGTTTCTAGGAGATTACATGATATATTAACTCATCCTACAACCTAATCTAGAGTTTTCATATTACGGTATTTTCTAGAAACCGTGGTATATACTACTTTAAATTTCAAAACAAAAATCCAAACAGGGTATTCGTGCCAAATGCTGCAATCAAAGTTCCAAATTAATGTTGCAAACAGCAGGGAAATAACACAACAATTAGAACCCTACAGTTGGCTGTCGTTCTCCACCATACCAATGGGTCCCTCAGATTCAGAGGTCAGATCTTCAGCCGTATCTTAAAAAACAGAGCAACAATGCACTCTTCAACTATCCAGACCTGCCCTACTAGTTGTTGCAATTTGCAGAGTACAAAAGCATAAAGCAAACCAAACAACCATCCAATTCATTGTCTACGTTTGACTCTAAGTTCTGCCGAAGCATGAAATGTAGGAAGCCATAACCAACAAATTCCAGCATGCATTCAAGAGCCGCCTTCTTAAATTCAATTCTGGTCAATTCCACAATTCCGAAGCTATCAAAGACAGTGACAGCAATCATGCAGCACAGATTTCCTTCTATCGTTCTGTTTCTTCAACAAGATACTAACATGACAAATTACATATATCGAGTGGGCAGAACTCAAGAGTCACAGAACTGCATCGTTCATTGCACACATGTTAGCTGATAGTAACGGGCATTTTGGAAACAAATTCACATTGACTTTGCTGCTTATCTGAGGATACAAGAAATAAAACCAGCTTCCACAAAATTTAGTTATTAAAAGCTGTGACTTTTATATTCTTATGACTTTGGAAATTTGGGAAAATGCAGCTTGACAAGCATTGGGAGTTCAGAGAGCTCCACTTTAGACCTACCCAATAATACAGTCTTCAGCTTGTCATCACAGTTTACAATGTTCCTATTAGATGGGTCCTGCAAAACAGGATTAATTTCATTTAGTACTAGTAACAATTCCATGTGGGCATTTATTGATACAATTATGTATATATGAGAAGGAAGAAAGACTATAAAAACAAAGCTTTTCTTCAAGCAAGTCACTTCATTTCAAACAAGTTTACTATTATTATCAATTGAGAGAAGAACTGCAAGAATAAAGCTAAAGAGGCTAAGAAGCACTTTTGAATTGAAACTGTCATTCTGCAATCTGCTTAGACTAAATTCAATTATGTGACTGAGAGACCATGAGACTAAAATACATATTACATAATGCCAGATGTTTTCCTTCAGTATTTTCATTTTGAACAATCAACGGCAATGCTTTAGAAATACAGTCGAATTATTTAGTAATCAGGGGAAAAGTGCATATCAAGGGTGAGTTCTAAACTTCAACTACAAACTACAACTTCCTCGTTTTTTGTTAACACGCTTCCCGAACTGCTAAACGGAGCGTTTTGCGCAAAAAGAAAATCATATAGAAGTTTTCTAAAAAAATCAAATAAATCCATTTTTAAAATTTATAATAGTTAATACTTAATTAATCATGCACTAATGAGCCGTCCCTTTTTACGTGCAGCTTATATGCTACTCCTATATGGAGTTTCACACGGGCCCTAAGTCTCAATAGACCTGCTAAGATCGTCTTCTGCGTATTTCCTAAAAGAGAGTCTTGCTCAGACCGTAGTCCCTTCACACTTTTCTGGGTGTAAGCATGCGTAAACAAACATTCACACGGAAGATGGGACCATAACTATTTTCTTTCTCCACTAAATTAAATTTGGACCATAACTGTTTTCTCCACTAATTTTAAGTCAAAATGGTGACAATAAGTAAAAAATGGTACCATCCCATTGGATCACCTAAAAGACAGTATATTGTTATTTACGTTAAGAATATCCTGTAAACCAACCAGCAGTATCTTCTGAGTAGTGTTCAAAGGGCATAAGGGATGTTGAGGCGTCAAGGCCAAGAAGAAATATAATGAAACATAAATTCCAAGAATTCTGAGCAAAAAACCACGAGCTTGCTTGGTTTATGACCCACTGCAAACCGTATAAACATATTGGTAAGCCAAAATTTAGGCTTTGCAAAAAAAATTTGTAAAGCTAGGCAATTTAATGTTATGCCAATTGAAGGTTTAGGAGGATTAATTGAGCTCTTAATTGGTTGCAGCCCATCTAGACTATCAACGTACATGTTACCAAGATTCTGGGATTGTAAGGTTGGGCACTACCCAAAAATTGGTAACAAAAGAAATGATTTCAAATTTATTGGCATTGCCAAAGACTTGTTATGTTCATTTGGGCTGATCAAAACAAGCCCAATCCCTAAAATCAATATAACAACGATTCTTTATTCAAATAAAGTGGCAACAATTGCCTCGGGTGGTAGATATGCCAACACTGTCTGCTGGGCATTGATGCTATATTAAAAGCTCACAGAAATTCTACGGAAATAGCACTGTAAAATGCAACCCTTTTAGGATGTCAGAGTGAGATTGTTTGTCCACCCTAAACAAGAACCTGGCATGTCCAACTAATCATTTCTTCTTTCACCATGCACACATCAACCCGCATCGCAGTAGTTCACAGTATGCAAGAAGAGAGTTTTATTCCCCCAATTAAGAATTTTTGACCGGATTCCCTAATTAAGAAATGATCTGAGACTTACAAATTCTACAGGCTACCAAAAACCTGCGACAATAATGAGCTCAACCAATTCCATGCACCGAGCGACCTAATAAATTTGTGAGGCAAAAGAACATGCAAATCTTGGTTAAGAAAGGAGGAGCATGATGTAATGTACCTGGAGGTTGTTGCTCTTGATATGTGACCAGACGCGGAGGAAGAAAGAGAGGTGGGACATCTGGGACTGGCCCCCCGCGAACTCCCTCAGGGCTGTCGGAAGGTTCACCAGGTCCACCAGCTTCGCCACCTTCTTCGGGCAATCGCCCACCGCCGCAGTAGCCCGCCGCAGCACCATCTCCCCACTTCAGCCCGTTTCCCCTCGGAAGTGGTTGAAGAACGGCAGAAGGATGATGATGATTAGAATCGACGTCGCTTGAAGACGAGGTATGGTGGCATGGGGCAGCGGCGGCCAGCGGGGGAATAGTTGGCAAGGGAGCAGGGCGACGGCGTGGGGAGGCGGCCGCGACGGTGCACGCGGCCTGGGAGAGGAAGCGGCGGCTGTGTGGGCAAACTGATGAGAGGGTGGAAAGGAACCACCACAATGTGTAAATGGGCCTCATTACCTCTTATAGGGCCCCAGCCGGGGGGATTTTTTTGCAGAATAAGTTCATTTCAGGTCCCTTAACTTTATCCGAATCCACTTTTTCTCCCCAAAACTAGATACAACTTGTATCTGAACTATCAAAACCGGTGCAAACGAGGTCACTCGGCGGTTTGGAATGCGGTTTTGGTTAACGTGGCATCTATGTGGCTGGTTTGACTATGTCTTCGTCCCACATAGCATTGACGTGGTGCTTATGTGGCAATTTTATCTAAAAAAATAATAAAAACCATGGGCCCACATATCAGCTAAAAAAAATTAAAAATGGTGGGACCCACATAGGCCAGCATGTTAGCTAAAAAAAATTAAAAATGGTGTGTTCCACATGTCATTCCCTCTCCCCTCTCCCTCTTCTTCCTCACCGTGCCGCGGCGCTGCCTCACGGCCATCGCCGCCGCCGTTGTCGTCCCAGTTCACGCTGCCGCTGCCGACGAAGAGGTGGGGGACAAGGGAGAGGGATTGGTCAGAGGGAAAGGGCAGGGGAGGGTAGAGGCTGGCGGCGGAGTACGCGGCGGTGTTCTCCAACCTCTAGATCTCCCGCAACCCTATGCCGCCGTTGGGGATGGCGATGCCGCTGCCAGCCGCACATAGCCTGCCGCCACCGACCCACCATTCGCGCGCACCTCGCCACCGTTCGGTGGCCTCCCACAGCTGCGGCGGCGCAACCACGTGTGTTTGGTGGGCCATCGAGGATGGTGTCCCAAGCGGCGCCTCCGCTTGCGCCACTGCCGGACTGGTTCCTCCGTAGCTGTGGTTGCCGCGCACCGTCCCTTCTCCCAACCGGCCACTGCCCTTTGGTCGTCGTGCCTGGAGAGAGAAGAGAGAGGAGATTGAGAGAGATGAAGAGAGGGGAGATGCCGAGATGGGGAGAGGGGATGAAGAAGAGGAGGGGAGAGAATGACACGTGGGCCCACGTGGCCCCCATCTTTTTTTTGTGCAGTTGACATGTGGGCCCACGGTTTTTATTATTTTTCCGAGATAGAATTGCCACGTAAACGCCACGTCAATCCCATGTGGGACGAAGACCTAGCTAGTCAAACCAGCCACGTAGGCGCCACGTCAGCCAAAACCGCCTTCCAAACCGCCAAGGGACCTCATTTGCGCCGGTTTTGACAGTTCAAGGACCGGTTGTTGTATCTGGCTTTGAGGTTATAGGATGAAAATCGGATTCGGTGTAAAGCTAAGGGACCTAAATGAACTTATCTAATCCCCACCCAAAAATCACCACGTGAATTCGGGTGTGTTTCTTCTCCAATTTTCAAACTTATACCATGATTCCTAAACTGCTAAATATTCTTTTATATAAAAAAAATTCTATAGAAAGGTTTATTTAAAAATTCATATTAATCTATTTTTTAACTTTTTTATGTAATTAACCTATCCAGATTCCTTGTAGGTTTCTCATCTAGACTTATTTCTTTTATATATTGAGACAGAGGGAGTACTTAATTAGTCATGTGCTAATATATTGTTCTATATTACATGTCGACGAAGAAGTGTTCCTAACCCCTAAGATAACATATTACTACAAAGTTACTTTTCGCATGTGGCCAAAAATATGTTTTCACTAGCGGCTGCCACAACCGCCAACGACCTATGGCCAGGATAAATCGACGATTTTCGCTGGTGGTTGTGGTCCGTATGTGAAAACCGATTTTTGCATGTGGATCTTTAAGAATCGCAGGCGGCACTACTATGAGAACTGCCAACAAAATGGTTTTTACCCAAAAAAAATCAATTTGCAACATGCAAACATCAAGACATCCACATCCAGAGATTCAAATCCCACATCATATCCAAATTTAAATCCACATCCAGAAATCGATTTTACACTGCTTTTCAATATGCAAACACAAAAACATCCACATCCAGAAGTCGATTTTACACTGCTTTCAACTTGCAAACATCAAGACATGAAACAAAATCGATCAACACTTGTCGTCGTTGTGTTGGGTGCGTCATCGTCGCAGGCTCACAGCCGCCATCACCGTTCTAGCCATTGACGCAGGTGGAGTGGGAAAGGGGAGAGGGAGAAAGATCGCACCGTGCCGAACCAGGGGGCCATTGCCGAGCCGCACGATGGGAGAGGCTACCACCGCCACACCCTCTTTCGTCGAGACGGAGGAGAGGTCACCGCTGGCTAGATCTGGTAGAGGGAGGAGCGGTCACTGCCGCCACCGCCCCATTTGCCGCCACCATACATGAGCTTCGCTTGCCGGCAGCAACGAGGATCCACATTGCAACCGACGTCCGCCATCGCCAAGGACCACCGCCGCCACATCCCCCAGATCTGGCGTTCTTAAGCACCGTAGCTGCCAGATCTGGAGTTCTTGAGTCCCACCGCTGGTCGTCTTCCCGCTCCACCTCATCTTCGAGCCGTCCGCCGTCTCCGGCCAATCAGATCGACCAACAGAGAGCTCAGGGTCGCTAGATCCACCCGGTGGCCTTGGCCTCACCGTTGGCTGATGCGGCGGTGGTCCTCGGCAACGACAACTTGGTCGTGGAGGGAGGCGACGATGGTGGCGCCAGAGAGAGGGCCGAAGAGAAGGCCGGTATTTAAGGGAGAAAAAGAGAGAGCACAAGGAGGGCGGGGGATAAGAAGTGAGGTGGGGATTGGAGACTTCGAGAGTCATCAGTGGGCGGTGGCTTTTAATATGGTGGATTTTCTTTACACGGGCGGTTGCTTAAGAAGTTCGTCATCAAACATAGGATTATTTTTGCAAGCGGATTTCTTAAGCAACCGCCAACAAAAATGTATTTTCGCTGGCAGTTCTAAACCCTTCACCCCTCGTTACAATTTTGTAAACGGAGCTCTCATATAACCAATAGCGAAAAAAATAGGGTACCGCCATGAAAAACCCTTTTCAGTGACACAGCCAAACTCGATGAAGAATCCTTCTTTCTCTTATGTTTATGTTTTGCTTTCTTGTTTTTCAGTAACAGTAAGGTACTCTTACATGAGATAGTATTATTTTTATTTTTTGTACTTCCCACTTACTCTTGTGCCATATCAAATTTACACCATGTGTAGCGGTATTAATAATTGAATACCACAAACACTAAATGACACGGAGACGTACAAATACATTATTGAGGAGTAGAGGTATCATCATGCTTCAACTTTGCAGCTCTTGATTTTTATAACTATCTGAGTCTGGGAATTTTAGAGCTAAGTTAAATCTTGTTTTTTTTTCCAAACAATCCTTGATGAGAACTGCTGGTCTGATATGATGTGTAAAAGAAATCTTGTCTTTTTTTTAAAAAAAAATGAGTTAGCTTTTTTTAGGCTATAAAGAATGCAAAACGTAATTAAAGGAAAATACATTTAATTTGGTATTACTAGGAAAATGTCTTTTTTTTGTTTCACTCTTTTTTACTGCTGGATTTTTAGATCTCATCGCTTCCAATGGTTCCACTTTCACATTAGTGCTTGTAAAATTGCACCTTTTACCAAAAAAAAAGTAGAGGACAAGTTAGGAACAATAATGCAAACGACATAAGATTGATTTAATTAAGAACGTACGGAAGTGCCAGAGAAAAGATAAAATGTGGAAATGTACATCAAATTTTGTAGACAAACCCGACCAATCCATCTAATGGAAATGGAACTACTAAGGTCCTGTTTAAGGTCCTGTTTAGTTCCCAAAAATCGAATTTTAGACACATATATAAAGTATTAAATATAGATTAATTTAAAAACTAATTGCACAGTTAAGGGAGAAATCGTGAGACGAATCTTTTGAGCCTAATTATTCCATGATTAGCCATAAGTGTTACAGTAACCCACATGTGCTAATGACGGATTAATTATGCTCAAAAGATTCGTCTCGCGGTTTCCAAGCGAGTTATAAAATTAGTTTTTTCATTCGTGTCCGGAAACCCCTTCCGACACCCGGTCAACCTTCCGACATCCAGTCAAACGTCCGATGTGACACCTAGAAATTTTCTTTCTCCCCAACTAAATAGGCTCTAAGGACTAAATTACGATGCTATCCGAATGCCATATTCTAGCACCGCGTTAGACATATTCTAGCACCGCGTTAGACGACGACAGTTCACAACAGTTCCCGCATGCGCACACATAAACAATGACATATTGACATGGGTGACTTCAAAGCAACGAAAAAAGTTCCGGTCACGATTTAAGCAGTTTAACATCGGTCCTTGTACATATAGTATTATATTGCCTATAGCAAGAACTATAGGTTATTTACCAGCAAGAAGTGCACTTTGTAAGTCGCCAGCCTGTCAAACCATAGCCAAGCCCAGCTTAGATCTACAGCCTAGATCGAGTTCCTCCAGCAACAACAATAGTTTCAGCTGTAATGAATGATGCATCGTCTGATGCCAAGAAAGCTGCGGCTGCAGCCATGTCTTCCACAGTACCCAATCTCTTAAGTGTGCTCCTGTCAATAAGCTCATTTTTCTGCAAAATGTTTCGGTTCGTTTTAAGTACATATACATGGACTGGATAAAAGAACAAACAAGGTTGACCTATTAAACAGTATACTATAACCAATGTAGTACATATACAAATAATATCAATCTAAAATATGTTACATTCATAACAACCAATGTAGGAGCACTAACCACATCAAGCTAGAAACACAATTCACATCTCAGTGTTTTCACCTTTTCTATCTATGGAGAACCTTATAATTTAGTCTTTTGACATAGTCAAGGAATGGCTTGGATCTAAAATCCACTCTAGCACCACCTATATATAGAACAATGCAACTATTCATTGGTAATCTACAGGAAGAAGGGATCATCTTTTTCTTTTTGAGGGATAGGGATAGTTCATTATATACATAGAATAATGATTTTATCATTGTACCTAAGAATTCCAAAACAAAAGGAATACAAACGATAAATTTAGGTGAATCGGTAACATACCTAATGAAGGCAAACAAATTAGCACTCATAGCTAACGTTTTTCACCAATCTGAATAAATGGTAGAGGTGCCAATGTTGATGATACAGTGATACACATTGAAGCACTAGATTGGTTACATCAATGATGCATGCTTATGGACCATCTGGTGAAATTATGAATTTCCGATATTACAGAATTATTTGGCCTAATACCATCCGCGTAAATTTTACAAAACCACACCACATGATGTGGCTCCGCCACCGTCTAGTAAGCCTATTCAATTTTTGTGAGCCATCAAAATAGGCTACTGATGATTCATCCATGCCATTAGAATTAGGCAGGGCACTTCCATCACAAAAATGTCAACTGTAGCCAGTGATCGCAAATTGTATTGTAGGAAACCAACGGCATGCTAACTTTAGTCTGTATCCATCCTACTCCAGCTGATGTTATGTGCCACTTTAGTCTAAAGCCCAATGGTTTTTCACATCTTTTACCACAGATCTAGTTTTTCTTTGAAATTCATTATCGCCCATTTTGGGTGCTGCATAATGTTTACACATATCCAAAAATTCAAACAAACAGTAATGTCCTTATCAAAGCAAAAGGATTCATGGGATGTCCAGTGTGTTTCTACAGCAATGCTGTAATGGTGTTAGTAGAGCACAAGGTTCCAAACAAAATAAACAATCTGTTTAAACAATGATTAGCAATTTAATCATATTCAGAAGAGATAAAATTTGAAAATTTGGTGTTGTCCTTTTTTGACTGACTGGTCCTTTAGATGTGAAATAGTTTTTTTCTTCTGTAACCAATTAATTCTCAAAATGGTATGCAGAAATTACTTACAATGGTGTCATTAGTTGTGAGGAAACGAGCAAAATTTGTAGGAACAAAACCAGGGGCTATACAGTTAACACGAGTATTTGGCCCCATCTCAGCAGCAAGAGCCTAGAAAATAAGAACATCCAATAGTCAGTGGACAGATAAGTTCATCAGGTGTAAAACAACCATATACCATAACAACAAAATATCTTCAGAATATTTGACTGGCAAATAGTGTGTTGATGAAAATGAGCTGCCCTATTTTTAATACAACATAGTTTTATGGCAGATGTGCATGCTGTCCTGAGAAATCTTAGTCATAAGAACATTGTTGGATTATGAACTCGGAAATATAGCTCCGATGCAATAAAATTTGGTTGTAGCCTGCTAGTCAAACATAATAATATCTGGCGGTGTGTTCTGTATAGCAGCTATCATAGTATCACGCTACTATATTAACTTCATATTTCACATTCCACTTGTGCGTTAGTTGCATATCCATTCACATATATAAAGTGGCAAGACCTTCTCTAGATGTGAATCTGGTTAACTGGGATATAACATCACAATATTTTAGAAGACATTATTCGTGGCTCCCTGAAGATTAGGAAGAAATCTGGAAGCAAAGGCAAACTTTCTTGAGGTGATCCAAAATCGAAGCTCTTATATAGGCACAAAACACCAAGTAGAGAAAATTTCACAACATAAACTTCACGAATTTCTTACTTCTTAGTACTAGTCCATTTTATTTATGTTTTGGAGGCATGCTCCCACCCTGTCAGTGTATAGTTTCCCGCCCCGAGTGAAGCACATCTCCAAGGGGCAATACCATAGCAATTCATATGCTACTCCTTCCAGTATTGAACAATTGACAGCTTATGTTAATGTGCTTTTTGCTGTAATGTATTTAGTAGAAAAACTAATAACACCATTACATCAGCAGTCCAGCAATATAATTTTTTTGCCCATCTTGAAATAGCACAGGACTAAGAAAATTTTGATACCAGGAAACATGGAAATGGAAAATGTAAAAGCATGTACCTTTGTGAGACCAAGCAGGGCAGTTTTTGTAACAGCATACATCGACAATGCTGGTTCTGGATTATAGCCAGTAATTGAAGAAATCAATATCACGGATGATCCCTTCCGCAAATATGCAGCAGCATCCTAATGAGAAAATGAAAATAACAATTTAGTCACGCAAATGCTGTTTTTTTCTTCTTCTACAAAGTTGTGTTTATGATTTAGGATGAAGATCTTGTTAACCTGAAGAAGAAGAATAGATGCCTTAACATTAATATCCCATAGTTTGTCAAGGATAGGCTCTTTCATTTCTAATATGTTATCTACGGAAGGATTGGCAGCAGCATTGGAGACAACTATGTCGATATGCCCAAAATTCTGCAATAATATAACAATTAGTTTATTATGTAGGATTTGCAGTAGCATTGGAGACAACAATATCAATGTCCAAAAATCTGAAATAGTATAATGGATCTTCACTATGTAGGATTTGAAGTAACATTGGATTGGAGACAGCTATATCAATATGCCAAAACTTCTGAAATAATATAGCGATTAATTACTATGTAAGAATGTAATACTACATGATCACTGCAGGAAAAACCTGCGCAAAGTAATACATTGGCAGAAACAAACAATGTGCAATTTTCAGGATAAGCATAGCTTAGATGAACCAAACCTCTAGGTCTAAACTACCAACAGATAAAATCTTTTGTTTCTATCATGCAACCTTTTTTAAGCCACAAGGCAGAAACTCCAGTCCTATTTTCCACTAAGAAGAGAAACTGAGAGCAGAGTAGTTTCAAGCTCAGTTGAGCTGCAAAAAAAACCCACTGTCCATACAGTGAAAAGAAAAATAAAAGGATCACAACAATTGTGGAGCCCATGCACTCTATTTATGGTTCCAAAGCAAACGGTGCACTCTATTTCTGGTTCCAAAGCAGACGGGGGTAAAATTAGGCCGTGTTTAGTTCCCACGCAAAAACTTTTCACCCTATCACATCGAATGTTTGGACACATGTATGGAGTATTAAATATGACAAAAAAAAAACTAATTACACAGATTGTGTGTAAATTGCGAGACGAATCTTTTAAGCCTAATTGCGCTATGATTTGACAATGTGGTGCTATAGTAAACATTTGCTAATGACAGATTAATTAGACTTAATAAATTTATCTCACAATTTACAGGCAGGATCTGTAATTTGTTTTGTTATTAGACTACGTTTAATACTTCAAATGTGTGTCCGTGTATCCGATGTGACACGCCAAAACTTTTCACCCCTAGAACTGAACAGGGCCTTAAGAGTCCTAATCTCGCGTTGACCAATGCAGATGCTGAAATCTAGTATAGTATACTCCTAATAGAGTAATGATTGATCAAAGCCTTGTCCTAACGAAACAAAATACGTCTTGTATTTCTATAAACGAAGGGAGTATTTTGGTACTAGTATACTAGTACGATCGATTTAGAGCAATCCCCATGAATTGGAACCCAGAATCCGGTACAGACTAATTTATTGAGCCCCGCAAATCTGGAGGCAACCATCTTACTGAAAGAAAATCGCAGTGGATCAGCCAGGGCAGAAACCCCCAATTCTCACCTTGACCGCCGTGTCGATGAGGTTCTTGCGCTGCTCCGGGATGGAGACATGGCAGACCACCCCGACGACGGTGATCCCCTTCGCCCTGAGGCCCACGACCGCCTCGTCGACGTTCTTCTGCAGCATGCGAAGGAGAAGCAAAGATGAGGACAAACGAGATGGAGAGGGGAGGGGGTTTGAGTTGGACCTTCTTGCGGGAGGAGATGACGACGGCGGCGCCCTCGAGGCCGAGGCGCTCGGCGATGGCGAGACCGATGCCCTGCGTGGAGGCCGTCACGACGGCTACCTTCCCCTCCAGCCGACGGCACTTCACCTCCATCGCCGGCGCTCCTCGCTTCTCGGCGACAACTTGGTCGGAGTAGACTAGCTAGGCCTAGGAGGGACGAGGCGTCGATGCGATATTGCGAATTTGCGATGCGACGGAGGAAACCAGAGCGGGGTAGACTTGCCGTACGATTTGTCCGCACGTAGCTTTGGTCCTCCAAGGCTCCAAGCACGCCGTGCGACGACACAACGACGACGGATTAATCAAGGCAGGCGGTTGGACGGCAAGAATCGGCAAGAATCCCACAGCGGCACAGCCTGTGCCTGCCTGGGTTCAATGTCTTGTGTTTGGAAATTTAGTTATAAGATGTTTAAATATTAATTTGGAGTATTAAATATAGATTAATAATAAAATTAATTGTATAAATAAGAACAAATATTTACTGTAGCATCACATAGGTTAATTATGGATTAATTAGGCTCAATAGATTCGTCTAACGAATTAGTCTAAGGTTATGGAATGTGTTTTATGATTAGTCTATGTTTAATACTCCAAATTAGCGTCTAAACATCTGATGTGATAGGGATAAAAAAAATTAGTCCCATCCAAACACCCCATTAGACATTGAGTAGAAAAAACAAGGCACGTGGACAACTATACTATGTATTTTTCTTTTGACAATGAAAATCATTCTAGCATTTGCTTTGCATAGGTTACAATCAATTATTACAGAGTTTGTAAAAGGAAACAACTACCGATTACAAAATTATTTGTTTGATTAAAAACAAGAAACTAATAAGAGTATTACCCTAAAGACAATGATCCCCTATGGTTGATCAGAGTATGTATAACCGTTGTTTCTACCAACGGCTTACAAGTTGTATGTAGTCAATGTCTTTCTCAAATCAGAAAAACAGAATCTCCAAAACCACCAGTCAATCCTTTGTCAATCAAATTTCACTCTCATCAACATTGAGGAACATGTTGTCGAACCAAAGTGGGAGAAAACCTTAGAGATTAGCTCAGTTGTAAATAAGTCATTCGCTTGGATCTTGCCACTGCCATGTCTTAGAACCCATTCTGATGGAAACTGTCACGCCCAGAAATTCACGAACCAGAATTTCTAAGCTGAATGTGCATTCGACCCCTGTCCAGGACCAGCCAGGGTACACAAATGACAATTGTTGACATACAGATCCACGTCTTACAAAAATATAAAAGATTACAACAGCAGCGGAAAAGATAAAACGAGCTAGCCTTGGAAACTTGACTTCAGCAGTGGGCGACTCCACTCCACAGGCAATCCTTGACGGCAGCGACAAAACCAACTTCAGCAAGACAGCTCCAACTAGAAAGATCTTCAGCTCTGGTGTGGGGGAAAAGAGAGCAAGACTGAGTACTACCCACTGTACTCAGCAAGTCATACCGGAAGAGGAGGTATGATGTAGGATATAACCAAAGGAGGCTAGGAGTTCTTTTGCACAAAGCTAGCATTTAAAAGCAGTAGTTGAAAGCAGTAAAACAGCTGTAGTAATTAATCAATATTAACCAATCACTGTCCAACGCTACACCACGTTGCAACAGGCCCAACCAACCACCTGAACTACACCAGTTCATTAAGCTAAACTAGGGGTGAGACTAATCATGGTGAATCTGGTTGATGCCCATAACCGCGGGCACGGCTATTCGAATAGTTTTACTCTGGCCAGAGGTGTACAATTGTACCCACAAAACACGATTCCACACATGTCGCCATGCCCCGAAGTATCACCATGATACTGCAAGGGGGAAATTGTGACAAGACCCTCCACATAACCCTCCCCTAACCATCCACACCACACTAAGGTTTCACCCCCACCCCTCAAAAGGCAGTGGGTGGCCCCCTCTTGCGCCGCGGTGAATCCGGCAGCTGGACAACCGGACACCCCGGCTGACCCAACTCCATCACGCCCACCCTCGCCACCGGTGCCTAGGAAAGGGTCGAGCTATACTTCAGATCAAGCAGTTACCCACTCCCGGTTGTGGTAAGCACGGTAAGTCTCCCAGGGTTTCCCGTGAACCGGTCCTTAACTGCCATGAGTGCGACCAGTAAAACCATGCACCCACAGCCCACTATTCAGTGTATTTTAATTAACTAACACCATTGCGGTGGCACCAATCCAAAACTATGCTCATAGCCAAAGTCTATGTAATAATGTGATCCCCATTTGTGTACTAGTTGAGCTAAGCATGGCTAAGCATTTCCTAAACCAACATCTAATCATTTTGATACCCAAGTTATCAATGGCATATGGTAAACAATAAATGGCTGAGTAATAGGACCCATCCCACATGACATTGTAAAAGAATGCAACATTTAATAGAAATGCAGGGTGTTTGTAAATTGGGTACAATATGATCAAATATAAAGCATGACTTGCCTTGCTCTCGCACTGATGAGACCTCAGCAACGTCTTCGAGAAACCGCGGATCGACGAAATGGCCGAAAACTACGCGACAAACAAAGCACACAAGCAAAACATGCTATAAGACTACTGAAACAGGAAACAAAACCATTTTTAATGGATTCTTTGCATTTTTATGAATTTACTGAGACTTGAATGGACTTAAACGGAGCTCGGATGAATTACTTATGAATTTTAGAAGATAAACTGTGTTTTTATTAATAAAGAAAAAGTCCTTAATCAATTTATTGCGCAATAAATCCCAGGGCTGACGTCATCAAGGGGGGGCTGCGCCGACAGGTGGGCCCCGCTTGTCAGCGCACAGGTGGGCCCCGCTTGTCAGCGCACAAGTGGGCCCCACTGGCAGCGGCACAAGGTGGCCGGTCTACCGTGGACCGGGACCACGCGGGTGGTCCACCGCCGGTCCACGGGACCGACGGTCCGGATCAGCCCGAGGCCGATCGGACGGCACGGGCGGCGGCTACGCATGGCTCGGCTCGGCACAAAGCCGACCGACCGGCCATGGCGTGCGGCGGCGGCGCGCGCGGCTGCCGACGGCGACGACCGGTGGAGGGAGGCGGCGGCGGACGGCGCGAAAGGCAGCGGCGGACGGCCGGAGCGGCGGCACGGCCAAAGGCGGCGGCGCACGTGGGAAGGGGAGAAAAGGGAGGGGGAGGGAGTCCTCACCGGAGGGGCGGCGACTGGAGCGGGAGGGGATGAGCGGCGGCAGTGCTTCGGAAAACGGCGGACGGGAGCGGCGCGACCTGGGAAAAGGCGGTGAAGGGGTTAGGGAGAAAAGAGGAGCCGCGGCACGGCGAGGAGAAATGGCCGGAGATGGAAACAATGGCGAGCTCACCGGCGGCGCGAGGGAATCGGAGCTCCGGCGGTGATTCGCGGCAACAAAGCGGCGGCCGAGGTGCGGGCGGGCTCGGTGAGCGCGACGGCGGCGACTGTGCGGCGCGGCGGCGGCTCTAGCGGCGGCGACGCGCGGCCGGAGATAGGCAGCAGCAGCGGCTAGGCACGGCGGCGATAGGGGCACGGGGGAGGGCGGCTGTCGGTGACATGGGACCGGGAGTATCATGACTTAGAGACTTGAGGCAGACACGATCACCCACGTGGCCTAACCCCCTCGGGGGGGGTCGGGCCCGAGGGTGATACGGCCGCCCTTCTCTTTGTCTCCCCGAGGGGTCGGACCGCTCCCGTCTCGGCCCCGAGGGCCGAGGCGCCCCGACCCCTTGTGGGTTTTGCGCCGCGTATATGGGGTAGGTGAGCATAGCGGGGCTCACCTAACCGCATTTATTGCGGTTTGGACGAGCGCGTCATGCCACATGTAGCGCAGTATGGCACGCTCGTTTATCCGGTCTGTGACCAGTCACAGATCGGTCAGATTGCGGGTTAGGAGGTAACAGGCGATCTGACACACGCCTCGCCCCGTCCCGTCAGGATGAGAGTCTCTAGGCACTCGTCCCTAGCCGGAGCCAGCGTGCTAGCTCCTGGAGATGGCACGTTGGTCCTGGTCAGATATATGCCAGGCTTTATCCCAACCATTATAAGCAAGACGTTGTATGAAGAAGGGCGAACATGCAGATTGCTAAACTGACACGTGGTGGACAAAGGTGACCGGTCTGTGACTGGTCTGACACTGGTTATGTCGCCGGAAGACAACCGTGTTCCCACGTTGCACCTGCTTCCGGCGGAGTGGAGGTAGGTATGGGCCGTCCCATCAGAAGGGTTACTCGGGCAGCAGCCGTTGCAAATCTCCGCCCATTTATGAAGAGAGGACAGGGTGATCCCCGAGGTCAGACGAACGAGGACGCGTGGCCACACTCAAAAACAGGCAGTGTTTCAGCTTCCAAGAGAAGGTAAGCCAAGTTTTACTATAGATAGGATGGGACCCCACCCAAAAAGAGAGAGGGAGAAGTGGTGCATGTGGTATCCCCTTGAGATATAAAAGGAGGACCTTGCCCACTTAAGAAGGGGGGCTGAAAGGGGGGATGATCTGGAGAGGAGATCCCACGAGAAAAAAAAAAGGAGAAGAGGGTTTTTAGAATAAGAGCTCTATGGCTCTCCAGCTCTTTGTAGCTTCTTCATACACAGATCCACCAGAACACAGGAGTAGGGTATTACGCTTCTCAGCGGCCCGAACCTGTATACATCGCCCGTGTCTTGTGCTTTTTCCATTCTCGCGAACTTTCCACAGACTAGGAGCTTAGAATCTCACCCAGGGCCCCCGGCCGAACCGGCAAAGGGGGGCCTGCGCGGTCTCCCGGTGAGGAGCCCCACGCTCCGTCAGCGGCAAATGGGGGAAACGAGAGAGGGAACTCGGGGGAGTGATTTAAAGGTGCGGGAGGGGGCGGACGTGGCCGGGAAGGTGGCCGATTTGGCCGGCGACGTGGGGGTGGAGAGAGAGAGAATGGGGGATTCAAATTCGAATCCCGGCCCTTGCGAGCGCGCACGCGGGCCGGGAGATGCGGGGGAGAGGGCGACGACGTGGGGAGGACGCGGGAGCGGCGTGGCGTGGGCGCGGGAGGAGCGGAGGAGGCGGCGGCGCGGCGGTTTTGGCGGCAGCGGTTGGAGCTCCGGCTCCAACGGCCGGAGGTGGGAGACGACCGACAGGTGGGGCCCACCTGTCAGCGTCCTGAGAGAGGAGGGAGGGGCGGCTTGGGCCGGCCCACAAGGAGGAGGGGCCGCGGGAGAGGGATGGGCCGACGGCCCAACAAAGAAAAAGGAGGGAAAAGAAAAGAAAAAGAGAAAAAGGATTTTCCTGGGATTAAAAATATTGCGCTTGCTCATTTTTAATTGGTCAAAATTATTTTCAAGGCTCTGAAAATTCCACTAAAAATCCTATTAATGTATTGTGACATGTGGAACCCAAGAAAA